CTTTTCTTTTCATATCCAGAGAAGTCCCCACAGTTTTCCATTTTGTCATAACCTTCAAAGCATAGTATTACATTTCAGGCTAGTAGAAGACTGCAGTACTGTTTTTTAATGAAAATCTCATACCTCTGTGAAAAACATTGTATCTAGAGTTTGTGTGATTTTGTTAATTTTTATTTTGAATTTCTTGCTGATTCTATATACTAGTAGATGCATTTTCCCGCTGGCCGCCACAAGGCGACTGGCATGAAGACAGGATCTGAGATAATCTTTTCTTGGTCTTTTGATATAACTTCCTGTCAGTGTGTACAACATGACTAGCATGGGAAAATATGGGAAACTAAGGCCATGTTGATTTGATTATATGGATGACATCCGCGCGCGCATGAATTTTCGGCCGTTTCAAAAAAAAAAGAAAAGTTTCCAACCACACTGTAAATTGTACAAAACAGTTGCAAAATGAGCAAATATATACCGAAAGTTGCAAAAAAAATATTTGAAAACGATTCCAACATCGTAGAATGCCAAAATCAAACAAAAAACTAAAATGCAAAGAAATGAATTTAAAGAGTAGATTATTCGCCATACCATACCCTGTGTCATTTGTTCGACCTTCATAACAACGTAGATTTCATGAAAGCAACTTTTTTTTTTGCAAAACTTTTTTTTTATTTCGCGCGCTCGCATCAGTTTTGGGGTTCCCAGAGGATGTCATCCATATAATCAAATCAACATGGCCTAAATGGAAACATGAGCAAACACACAAACAGACACTGCAATGACAAAACCTCTGTATATGGAGGTAACCAGTACTTTCTGCATCTTTTGTAATGAGCAGTGTTTTCTCACATTTGCAGGATCCTGACAGATATGAGGAAGAGCAACGGAGAGCCAAAAAGAAGAGGAGGAAGATGGTCAAAGCCAAAATCAAAGCAAGAAGATCAAAATCAGCAGTAAATGCTAAAAAGAAATAGTCTTGTGTCTCCAGTTAAAAACTTCCAGTGTCTGTACTAATACATGTATCATTGACTGCTGTTGCACAGCTCTTCAACATTTTTCTGTCTTTATCAGGATTATGATGTGTAACAGTGGGGTCAGTATAAGCCACCCACTGTTACAGAAGGCATGTTTCGACATGGCATTATTGTTAACTTTGTACATAGTAAAATAACTGCCATTTTCTCTCAAGAAATATCTTGTTGTGGATAAATAAAAAATTGAGCAAGGAGGTTATAATCTCCTTGCATAGAGTTAATCCCACTCACTTGGTTCTTTTCCAAATGTCAATACTGAGTATATAAACTTTAGTCATTACCCTGCCTTATAAGAATAAAGCAATAGAAATGCTGAATGTCACATGTTTCTTACTTTATACAGTATCCACATACACTGGACACACTTCTTTAGGCCATACCAATATAATTTGTTGTTTCTCAGATTTTTTTCAGAAAAAATATGAAGGGACAGGGCAAAATAAAAGAAATAAAAAACAGGCCAAGGCACACCATGGTAGCAGGAAATGTTACGATATGAGCCATGGAGTCAACATACCAGGCTGGTTTATAATCAAAACAATAGATTTTGAACTTTTAGTGAAACGAAGTTGCATTGTTACAATGAAAAACTTTAACAATTAGGAAGAAAAGGACATCGGGGCCAAAATATGTCTTCTCATTGAGCATTTTGGAGTTGATTCAGAACCTAAAATCTTTTTTACTCCGTGAAGGAGGTCAGGACCTCCGGACGGAGTGTTGTAATCGGCTGATTTTTCATGTTCGCAGTCAAAACACTGGGTTCTCTTTGTGTAATCGGCACGCAATTTTATACGCCGTCTGCGGGCATGCCCGTGTTGATGCACGAATGTGTATTTTTGCCGTTGCTGCTTTCGCGGTCAATGTAATATCGCAGACGCACCCCTACAATTACGAGGCGAATTGGAATGGTCCAGAAAAACGCGTTGTTTGGAATAGCAGTGGGGTTCAAAAAAGTTCATGCAGATACGGGGTGGTTTTTATAAGTGGTTCCAGATGTTTTTGCCCATGGTTAAGAGATGCCAAGTTTTTTGGAAGATGTTCGCAGCCAAAACGCATTCTTCCGTACGTCGCATTTCTGTGTAATTTCGCATGTGGTGTTGCATTATGTCCGGGATGATGCACGTCTTTTTATTTTTACCGTAGCTGTTTTGATATTGGAGTAAATGCTTATTTTCGAAACATCCCCATTTCTTTGAAATGGTTTCGTCCGTTTATGCAACTGTTACTGCGCTAATGACGACCAGTCGCGCTGTCCTGATACACCGCGAATGTGCGAGTGTTCCCTGTAGACAGTCCCGGGAGTCATTTTTTTGCACATTCCAGGAGCCAAACCAAAATACGTTCATGAACCGAGTCCAAAAAACCGAAACGTGAAAATCGGATGATCGGACCTGATGTACATTTCTCTTTCTATAGATTGTACACACAATACACACATCTTTAGATAATCTGGCCATGGCAGGTTAAAAAAAAAGTAACCCTGAATCATACTAGATTAGCGTAAATGCATGTTAATGCGTTCAAAACAAGAAAAAAATTGTTTCCGGGTATTAATCTCTTGAATCACGGCGCTGAATATTGACGCAAAAATATTTCGGGCATCGCGCGCCCTTCCCGCGTCACGTGTAGGCATCTCGCATCTCTGATTGGTTGTTGCGTCTTAAGATGACTGAGCCGACGCGCGTTTAAACAATTTTTCTTTGTTCGACTTATCACACTTCACAGAGAATTGTCGCCAATGGCTACTTCTTTTTGTTGCAATATATAATACTTCACGGAGAATTGTCACCTATGGCTTCTTGTTTTTTTTTTGCAAATCAGAAGAAAATGGACAGGTGAATCCTAGAAACAACAAACTAAATTAATCTCCAATGAAGATCGCTTCTTATGGACATCCACAGCGATTTAGTCAGAAACTATTAAATCAGCCTGTCATAAAGATTTTGCAGTTTTAGATTTAACTCCAACGGAGAGTGAACCATATGTCCTTGATATTAATTCCAGAAAATGTTTGTTTAATTTTAACTTTATTGTATAGAATATTGAACAAGCTACTGGTATTGTGTTACGTCAAGAGGACAGAGTATGGAGTTTTCTCCTTCTAATGACATAGTAATGTTCTATCAAACTCCATGGACAGATAAAGTTAAAGGTCATATTATAAATGAAACATGAATCATATAATGTGATATGAGCAGAAGGGTTTTCAAGATGTTTAAGGACATTATATAGAAAGGTTAATCCGCTTTTCAAAGATCATTGCTGTGAAAACATGCAACTTGAAGCGCAGAGTGGATCTCCAGCCATATACAAGGCCCATACAAGTTGTAGCGTTGTTGCTCCGTAACAATGTGGCGTTGCCAAAATCAATGACGTCAGTAATCACCTTCCCGCCATATCATATCACATGACTCCTAACCCCTGATTAACAAGTCAGGAAACCCCTAACGTGCGTCACTTCCTCCATCCATTCTCGGTGAGGCCTGGTGAGAGCGAGTTGCAGCGTCCTAGTTTGTCAATTTTGCAACCAAGAAGATGGCGAATTCACAAGGCGACGAAGTTGGGTGAGTACTGTGGAATTACATAACGTTAGTATCAGTATTACTGAGGCGTTTTCTACAGATTTGGAGCCCCTGATGTTAGTTTATGGACGAATGCCGGTGGGGGAACGGCCGGCATGTTACACTGCGCCATGGCGGTTTTCGACGCGTTGCAAATTTTTAGATCATACACATGTTGTGCTGCCGTTTATCCACGAAACCGTTCCTATATGTATTATAACCAAGGAATATGGAATGTTTAACATATAGATAGTTGTGGTAGTGAGCACTATCACGATTTTCTTCATGTATGAAGACGAAATATGTAAAGGCCACCATGCAAATGTCGTTGTATCGGGGTTATCGATAAGGTTGGATGTTGCGACCTTCCCTGGCCTCGCCCAAGGACAATCGACGTTATTCCTGTCCAAGACAAGGTCGCCCGTCGCAGAAAATTATCCAATGCGTCACATTTTAGGTCACATATGTTGTTTGGAAGGCCTCAAAGCGTCCAGTTCCAGCGTGCCACGAGGTCTTCTGTGGGGGGCGGCGTGGGTTTTTTTAAACAAAGCCGCGACATGTCCGACCACGAGGCCCTACTCCCCACTAGACAAGCACGTGGTCGCGGTATTTGAATAAAGACAAAAGGCGTCTTGAAATCCATTGTGCATAGTGAAGGAAGTCAGAAGACAAGGCTTGCATTTTGTAAGACACCAAGACTGTTGATTTTGAATGATTAATTGTGAAAGTTAGTCGGTTTTCCGGAAGGGGGTGTTTCCTCCGCAACGTTACTAAAACCCTTTGCAGCGATTAAAATTTTCAATCCTTTATCTGTTGCAGGAAATTATTTGTGGGGGGCATCAGCTGGGATACAACGCAAGGTGGGTATAATTGATTGCCATGTATTCCTAACAGACAGGCTACAACTTTATAAAGAAAGACCAGAATGCATCTACTCTACTCTACTCTACTCATAATATGATATCATTGATTCCCTTGTGATCTGAATTGACAAAGCAGTAATGGATCAGATCAGCTTCAGTATGACATTGACTGGTTCAGTTTCAACCCATTTGAGGAGATGCTGAAAATTATGTTCATGTAATAAAAAGTCCATAGTAACTTAAGTAAAGTGTTATATACATATCTGTACTTTTGAGTTGGGACTGATTTGTTGTTCCTGTAACTTGTGTGTGTAAGCAACCTAAAACATCAACCATCATACCATGTTGTGCTGCATTGTATAAAACAGTTTGACATGAAATTGTTACGTTTAGCTTGCACATATTCACCAAGTGCAATTGTTTTCTGTTTCAGAGGGTCTCAAGAACTACTTCAGCAAGTTTGGAGAGGTGGTGGACTGCGTCATCATGAAAGATTCCAACACTGGCCGGTCAAGGGGCTTTGGTTTGTCAAGTTTCAAGATGCATCCTGTGTACAGACTGTCCTCGCTAGTGGCCCACACAACCTAGATGGCAGAGTGGTGAGTGCTGTAAATCTTGAAATATTTGTGGTGGTTTATTACTCCGTGAAGGAGGTCAGGACCTCCGGACGGAGTGTTGTAATCGGCTGATTTTTCATGTTCGCAGTCAAAACACTGGGTTCTCTTCGTGTAATCGGCACGCAATTTTATACGCCGTCTGCGGGCATGCCCGTGTTGATGCACGAATGTGTATTTTTGCCGTTGCTGCTTTCGCGGTCAATGTAATATCGCAGACGCACCCCTACAATTACGAGGCGAATTGGAACGGTCCAGAAAAACGCGTTGTTTGGAATAGCGGGGGGGGAGTAAAAGTTCATGCAGATACGGGGTGGTTTTTATAAGTGGTTCCAGATGTTTTTGCCCATGGTTAAGAGATGCCAAGTTTTTTGGAAGATGTTCGCAGCCAAAACGCATTCTGCCGTACGTCGCATATCTGTGTAATTTCGCATGTGGTGTTGCATTATGTCCGGGATGATGCACGTCTTTTTATTTTTACCGTAGCTGTTTTGATATTGGAGTAAATGGTTATTTTCGAAACATCCCTACTTTTACAATCCTGTGGAATAGACCGTAGGTTTAGGCAGTTGTCTGGTAGCAGAGGTACTGTAAGCAGATATCCTGGTTATCTGGCCGGCGGTAGTAACACTCGCGGTGCTTACCGCCACTGTTGCTGGAATTTGGCTTGTTCCAGGCGCGCTTAATTAGGTACAGGCACCGTAAGACGGTGGGGCTGTCTTTGTTACTAGACACGACCATGATAGTCCGATCTTTATGTGAATGCAATGATTGTGTGTGTGTAATTAAAATGAAGTTAGAACTTGAAGCACAGTATCTTTACACGCCCTGGGAGCAGTAATGGATTTAGCTCTTTGTATGTTTTATGCTTGTGACGCGCCCTCATTGTATTAACCCACGCTCCTCCGCAGCGTCCGCTAGCGCGCTATAATTAAATCCACATCTGGGCGCGCGGCGGGGTCCCCAGAGCAACACAGTGCGGAAGCATTAGCGTGTATTTGTGTCCTGGGGCCGAGAACGCATTTTGCGCAAAGCATGCTGGGTAGCAGAGTGAACTGTCCTGGGGACGAGAGTTTGTGGCGCGGGCGGAGAATGCCAAAACTCCCTCCGTGGCTAAGTTCCTTCCGCGACTAACTCCCTTCTGGGCAAATGTAGAGGGATAACGGTACACCCTCATAGCGTCACCAAATGAGGTACTTTGTAAAGGTCCGTTTCATTTGGTATATATTACCATTGTGACAGCATTTTATACCCCAAAATAGGAATCTTGCGTCTTGTTTTAGGTCCCGATAGTAGAAAGAATGCAGTGTACATGTATTCAGATGGCCGCCGTGTAACGTTACGTACTAGCGAGCGCGCACGACAATACCGCCAGAGTAGAGTAGGTTATCCTAACCCTTTAGATAGCGCAAAGAAAACAAAAACGACAGATTTGCATTAAAGAAAGTTTATTTTCCATAGCCTGGGCTAAGCCACGATCTATAACCTATGGCTTCTCCACGGGCGCTGGGGACGAGCGTGGTATTAACCGTTGCCTAATTATAATGTCTGCACAGTAGGTCTGGCGTTGACGCTTGGGATTTTGTTGAAATATATAAAACTTCACGGAGAATTGTCGCCTATGGCTTCTTGTTTCCAGTGTTCCATCCGAAATCAGAACACGCAAGCATGTTTTTCTTACGATATAGCTTCAACAACTTAAAAGATAGACATCATTTCCACCCTTACCACGGGATCAAATCACCTCCCAAAATAAATGAATTCAGTCATTGCAATGCGCGAAATGTTTGCATTACTTTATTCAGCAGATTTATATATAGTCTACAGTCATGCAGTAAATTTGCATTAGTTCTCTTAGAGTGGAAGAGTTTACACGAATAGAAAACATATTCTAGACAACTTGCAGTTTCATGCCATATATATACTGCAGAGAAGTCAGGTAGTAACATAATGCCAGACACACATTGAAATGTCTAATTTCTCTTTGCAGATTGATCCAAAAGAATGCACACCCAGAAGTCAGCAAAGGGTTTGTACCATGGTTATATCTTACTTGCCTGCTGTTTGTTGAAATTTTGCCTGTTTACCACTAAGATGCCTTGTTCTGGGTCACACAAACTCATATTTCTGTTTCTCATTTTATTCCTTGAGGATGATGACGGAGGTTGGGGTGGCAGAAAACGATTCAATCAGGTCGGAAATGTATTCAGTACACAAAAACTGTAGAGTAGTGGATCGTAGCCTGTGTAGTGGCTGTGTCCCAAACTTGTGCCTCCTGTAGTGCATAGGAGTGATGTGTGTATAAAATGATTTGATGTTGTAATAATTTCTACTTTGTCATGAACAAAATGTTATGTATTAGAAAGGTATTGGTTTCTTCCAGTATTCAATATTGTAAAATTACAGTGGTCTCAAAACTGAACTCCTGTTTGCAATTCTCTATGACTGATTATATCTTCATGGTATTCTTTGTCATATCCTGCAACATTGAATAATAGAAATGGGGGGATGGCAAACAGTTAATTTGGAATGACAACTGAGTAGAAAGCACAACATAGCATTTGAAGTTGCACTGTAATTGGAACCAAGCCACGGTATGTGTATTGAGACAAGAATTGACATTGAAATGACCCCAGCCTCAAAAAAAAAAGCCCAAGATGAGAAACAGGAATACTACATCTGGTGGCCTTACTACATGCACCCCAGAAAGCATGATCAATCTTGCATCAATATATGCATGGTGATGGCAATCCTACAGAAAGTGTCAGAACTGCTAATAAATGGTTCTCTCCATACATCTATTACATCCTTGAGCTTTTAAACTCATTAAACTTGACATCAGTGAAACTTTTTATCATGGTGCAGGGGGATTCCCAACAAATAAAAGACAATCCCAAGTGTCCTTATGGAGATGCATATAGTTGTTGCTTACACAACACTGGTTTTATTATAGGGAAAGGCTGGTGGTGCCTACCAGGGCCGTGTCAAGAAGATCTTTGTTGGTGGCATTCCACCCAACTGTGGAGAGGAAGACCTGAAAGAGTTCTTTGGCACATTTGGCAAGGTAAGCTCCATTCAATAATCTAAAACGGTCAGTATTTTATGTACTACACAGGTAGCACATTATGCAATAGTTACCAGCAGTAAATTTTCTTCAGAGTTAAACTTTTCTTTGTTTTTCAGGTGACAGAAGTTGTGATGATGTATGATCAACAGAAACAGAGACCCAGAGGTAGGTTTCCTTGATAACTTTCACTGAAATATTATTGACTTGTTAATTCTCACTGATTTCCTGTAGGAGTGGTATTATGTAATGCATCTAGACATAAGTTTGAAGTAAGGTACCTACAAGTAGTGATACTATTACGATTACAATACATAATGATACCGATAAGCTTGGCACCTACTATATACAGTCGGAAGATAGAAGTTGATTGAGTTTGATGGTTATGAAGTCTTACGTGGTTTCTGCCTGAAAATTGTAACTTGTAGTCCAGGACAAATACTGTAGTGTATTGCTTTCTTTGCCTGTTGATGATTTTTACAATGTATTATGTATGTGTTTCTTGAGTTATTTTACTTCTATAGGTATACAAGGCTAGCTTACGTACAGTGTCGCTGTTGAAAAACTACTGCATTTCGGGTCTCATCCAAGATACACAAATATCTATATCTCTGTAGAAAATGTATGTCTACTTGCTACAGGGCATAAACTGTTAAGTACTCTTAAAAATTCACTTTCAAGATATAGATATTACCTGAAGGAAAGCATAAACAGTTACAGCTATGTGCTGCCCCAATGTTTCCCTTCAAGAGTTCAAGAGACCAGCTTCCGTTTTTAAGTATAGGGCATAGTTTGACCCTTAATAGAGAAGTCCGCAAGTGCAGTAGTTTTCATTCTGTCAGCGACTTGGCCTACCTACTGTATCTACCAGTGAAGTGAAGTGCCTGTATAAGTAATAACATCGCTGCACTCCCATCCTACCCCCCTTCGCCGGTTAGGATTTGGATTTTTAACGTTCGAGGATGAAGCCAGCGTTGAGAAGGCTGTGGATGTACATTGGCACATGATCAAGGGCAAACGGGTGTAGTTGTAGTTTCATATTTACTTCTTATTCTATCACCTTGGTCAATACAGGATTGTTGCACGAACAATCAACCAACCTAATGATTGTGCAGTTTCCCTACAACACACAAATTTGACTTTTTGAAGCTGAAGAAAGGGAACATAGCTGCTTTAAGTCGTTGGTTATTCATGCAACAGTTTCAACAAGGCCACCCATCCCTGTGTAGAGTAGTTTTCAAGTTTCTAGTTCTATTCTGTCCCTTTTGTCTAGTTTGCATGTAAGAATCAGAAAGGATGTGTTTATGGTAGGGGGCTTGCTTGATGGCATAGTTGTTATTCCTTTGTCTTGTTTCTGAACTATTCCTTTTGCTTTCTTCTATCTGCAGTAGCTCTTGTCACACCTGTCCGAGTGACACCATTCCTCGCTTGCCTCTGTCTTAGCAAGTTCTAAGATGGGTTGCCTTGTAAAAAGATCTGACATTTGTTCATATTTTTGTGGGCCAAAGAAACAAGCATTTTGATCTGCTATCCATAAATGTGCAAACTGATTAAAATTCATTGGCATTGTGTCAATTCATATCACCAATGTTTTTTTAGCCTTGAACAAGCCAATGAAATTGATATGCTTGTTTGTTTGGTTCAGTGTTTGCTGTTGGCTTACTGCAAGGCACACACCTTACACAGCAGAGTAGTCCACCACATAGAGTAAAGCGCAATATATGCCGCAGTTACTGATACATCTAACTAAAGTTTACTTGGAGCGAAGTTACTTTTTTCCTAGGCATTTAGCAAATATGGGTGAAATTTCTTGACTAATTTGGCTAGGTTAGAACAATCCACAGCACTCGTCAGACGTCACATGGACTTCTTCGGAACCAGGACACCACATGGAAGAAGAATTGGCACTATTATTAAGATAGGCTGATTAGACCATAAACAATAAGAATACATAGATCTTTTTATATTGATGAACAATGATCACAATTAGGTCTTATGCATTTTTTAAGTATCTTGCCCAAAATAGTATGCTTGTGACGTGGTTATGGCATAAATTCTCAGTGTCTTGACGTGTGCTAAGTTAAGAAAATTTTTCTAATTTTAAGGGTGCATATGGATACGAATTTCTTATAATTGCTGAAAGTATTACTAGAGTAAAGTACCAGTAACAGTATGCTCCAAGTAGCTTTTTTCAAGTAGTTATAAGTAGGATTTGTCTACCTTATTGATGCATCAAGTAGTGTAATGAAAGACATATCCTATACTGACATCATCAAGACTGCATTCTGTTTGGCCAAACAACCTAAATCTGCGGCAAATACGTAACATTGGAACATAAAAAAGTAATCTGTTACCACTCAGTCTTAGTCAAGATTGAGATGTAACAAGTTATGTGACAAAAGTTGTTCAGTGAAATTGAAACAAATCCAAACTGTACACACTTAGCTGCATGCACTGCTGTTGAAAGTCTCATTTTGTGTGGCAGCCTCTCAACACGACACTTATTTTGTTTATTGAAAGAGGAGGCTGGCATCAAATCTTACTACTACAGCCCATTTGTATATTTGAAAGAAGAAAAATTCTGACCAAATACCTTTTTTCCTTATGGTGATGTAAATTTGTAATGATAAAATATCCCCGAACTAAAATCTGTAATTTTTAACGCTGAGAGGCTGCTGCATGTTAGCTATCAGTACAAAGGGATTGCAGGTTTTCTCAACCTGGGATGTTTGTTTCAATGAAGGTTGAGGCAAAGAAGGCAGAGCCCCGTGATGGGAAGTCTGGCGGCGGCGGCTGGGGCCGTGGTGGCGGCGGCTTCGGAGGCGGCGGCTGGGGTGGCCAGCAGAGCAGCTGGGGAGGCCAGCAGGGCGGAGGTATGGAAAATGGTCGGTGGAAGTTCTGTCATTGCTTCTTACATTCCTCTTGCCTTGTTGTCTTGTAAAAATGTCAGGCTTGGTCAGCAGAACATTTTTACAAGGCCACAAAATGGCTATTAATTGGTGTTAAGTAATTAATTTTGTTATTGACAAAAATTATGTTTGCCTCTGGTTGGTAATATGTTCAATATTTTCAAAAGATAGAGCCATGATCTGTGCAATTTTGTTGTAGCTGCACCATTTGCACCAACAGAAAAGCAGACAAAAATGATAATGCCTATTGTCTTTGGGAGAACTTTCTGTAAGGGATGTTGATGTTGGCATGCAGGTTGACACAGATTTCCTTCTTTCTCTCTGTCATAATACTTTGGACATCCAGGTAAGTGGTTTTGTACTCATCTCAAATGGCACAGAAAGATTGAAAATTAGTAGGAAATGCAACCAACTGTTAGCTTGAAGGAGAAAAGTGGAATCCTTGCATGACAATGCCTCATCCTTGGCATTGATTACTATATTTTCACACTTGACACTTGAGATGTGTTCATAAACCATTATGCTGTTGTGATATTTGTTTGTGCTTGTGGTTTAACCTCAACTGTCAGTCATCTTTTTAAAGGTGCAAGGATTGTTACTTTCAAAACTACATTTCCATTTAACAGAAGGCTGTTCAGTTTTTGTTCTGGATTTCAGTACAAGTGGGTTTGTTTGACTGACATTTGAGGTTAGCTGTAGTGTGCTCACCACTGTGATCTTATTGTGGCTGTCTATCGTGTCTCTGGAACCTGTAGGTGTGTGGATAGCCCAGGGACAACCTATGGGTATGTTGATGCCTACCTTCCCCACCCATCCCGCGACCACTGCCCACTCAATTCTATCATTCCTCTTCACTTCTGTAGCTCAAATTCAGCACACTCAAATAAAAGGCCCCCAACATTCTATCATTCCTTGCTAGAAATGTGATTGTTGATTTCTTCATACTTTGCTGTCATTTTGTCCGATCGCTATTCTGTTTGAAGCGAGGATGGGAACAGAGCAGTGCATGCATTCAGAGTAAAGATTGCCATTTCTCAATCAGAAATTGATGTGCCCTGTCTGCTCTCCACAGTCTTGCATGTGATGTGAAATATCAAGCCACACACAGGGTTTACAATTTGGCTTTCCTATGTTTGTTCCAGGTGGCTATGGAGGTCCTGGGCGTGGAGGTGGCTACAATCAGTTTGGCGGTGGTGGATACGGCGGGCCACCCCAGCCCGGCGGCTATGGCGGTGGCGGCTACGGTGGACCACCCGCTGGAGGGCCACCACCGGGAGGCTATGGTTCGTCTCATTTTGTTGCACAGAGAAAGGTTTAATCGGTTGTGAGCAGATGATCATCAAGCAGTTTTACAGAGATTAAGTTTAAAGCTTGAACCTGCAGTCATACTGGCAATGAAGAAAACCATTAAAGAAAAGTTGTTGATCAACTGCATCCCACCTCCTGTGCATTAAGACTAACGTCCTTTGCCCATAGTGTTGCTTGTCTGTGTTTTTAATGGCAGTCAAGGGTCAAGATGGGCACAGAGTAACCCCCTTCTACTCCACAGGGCTAACATTTCTGGTTGTTGGTTCTCTACTAAAGGAAGGATACATTTACAACATTTGTAGTGCTGTAAGATATTATAATACCAGTGTAATAACCTTGGCCCCTGGCAAGCACTTTTGAGGGAGTGATAGTTACACCAAGACAAGGGCACTCATGGAAGGGTTGCAACCAGGAACATCCCTCAATGCAGAAGAAACCAAAGCATCATAGGCCATTTCAAAACTCGAACTTGGGATTGGGAACCAGATCTAAAAGTCCAACACCAGCCATCATCCCACCTGCTAAATAATTGGTACTAAACGCATGTTTGTGTGCCTTGTTTCAGGCACGACAGGGTATGGCTATGGTTATGGTGGAACTGGGGATCCATATGCGCAGCAACAGGGCTTCCAACAGGGCCAGGGGATGGGGCAGGGGATGGGAACGGGCATGGGCCAGGGCATGGGACAGAACCAGGGTGGCTACGGAGCTCAGCCAGCTGGAGACGCCAACAAGCCTGCCGACTACAACAACTACGGCTACGGTGGGTACCACCAGTCGACCGGCATGGTCACTATTACTGAAGCTGTAGAAAACGGGTAGAGGTCCAAAGTTAACACATTTTCACTGGTCATTCGGATGGTTGGTGATGGGTCAAAATGAAAATCATGAAACAAAATCTCCCCAACTCAACTCCCATTCCCCTGGTGTCACGAAGAGGCTGAAAATGTGGTGACTTGAAGTGATACATTTGTGCATTGAACCCAATCTTGATTCTGTTTTATTTTGCATGTTTGCTGCAGGGCAAATGGGCAGTTACCCACAACAGGAGTCTAGCTACGGTGCCGTAAGAGGCTCAGCAAACTACGGCGGCACTGGTGATGCGAACTACGGTGGCAGTGCAGGTACTGAGCTCTCTGAAGGTGAAATTATTGGTGTCCATTAAGCTTGGCAACGCATGCTTTTGTGTGCCTGCTCAGCTGTGCTTGCACTTAAGTTGTCAGACTCTACAAAAAGGAAGTGTCTTTTACAAGCTGTTTATGTGGGCGACTGAAATGTGGTCATAAACGAAATTGTACTTAAAGAGTTTTCCAAGTTGAGCACAATGCCCAATGCTACGAAGGTGCAAGATCACCAGCTGCTTTGTCCACATGGTAAATAAATTTCGTACACCAACATGTTTGATACAAGAACCCCCGCGATGTAAGTCAGGAAACACCCTCAGAAAAATATTCAACTCAAGTCTTCCTCAGACCTGGCCCTGTCACCAAAAAAGATCATTTTTGCCCTATAACTGTACTGACATCTAGTGTAAAACAAAAGAGCTTAAATCTCTTTGCAGGTCTGGCGAAGGCTGCACAAACAATTCTCCCAACTGACCTCTTTACTGTTTCTTTCCAGAATACGAATATTAAGGGACTAGCAGAAAAGAGGTCAGTTTTGAGAAGAGATTTTACATCCCTTACAAAACTAACAAGGGAGGATGAAAACCTCTTGCAAACTTCACTTGAAAGAAATAACTCTTGAGTCATTCTAGTTGCTTCCTTCCCATCTTACCTTCCACACATTCTGGCAGACAGCTATTTGCTGTGGCTGTCTATCTCGCTGGAGACAAGGCTCAAAATGTAGGCTTTCAGTGTGTACTTGAGTATGAACACTTGCGGACAAGCCAGCTGCCTAGCACATGCTTGATTTAGTCAGCAGTAAAGTCTTCTTTCCTTTGACATCCGTCTTTCCCTCGACACCTTTCTGCTCCAGCTGCAACAAGCCGGCAGTGTAAATGCATAGAAGTGACATATCTGCAGTGCTCTTTCTTTTGTAATGAGTGCTTAGTCTGGTGGCAAGCTTTGCTTTTGTAATGGGATCTTGTGGCATTGCCTGTAGATTGGATTTTGAAGTGGGTAATGAATGGACCCCTTCTTAATGCCTTTTCCTAACTGTGGCGATGTCTTTTGCCCACTGCTCTCTGATCATGTTAATGTTCATCCTGTCTTGTTAGGGATATTGTCTTCATTCTTGATTGAAACATGACATTCATTTGGATGATGGTTTTCAGACTTAAACAGAGAAGAATTGAAGTTCTGGAAAGAAAAAGAAACTAAAGCCTGCAATCCTTCTGTCTTGTCCTACAGCTGGGGGCACTTATGGAGGGGACATGTCTGGTGGCTACACTGCTCAGCAGCCAGGGGGGTACACACAGCCTGACTCACAGGGGGGCTATGGAGGCGGCCAGATGACTGGTGGATATGGCCGTGGGTCTGCCAGCAACTCCTCTGGCTTCCACCCCTACAGGCGATAGACTAGGCACCGCTGTAAACACGCTGTCATCTGCTGTACTCACCAGAGCTTTGCAGCTGAATTCTACAGAGATGATGCAAACATGTGATCTGTGTAAATACAAGAGAAACCACATCGGAAAGTAACATTGTTCAAGGTTAGGGCAGTACAGACATGTGACCGAAATTGATGGCATGTACATTGCATCAGATTGCAAATGTCTGTATGGAGTGTATCAAAAGCGTTTCCTCCATAGTTTCTCATGAGAAAAACTTTCACCCCAAACTTACATCACTTACACGTATCTTGAATGTTTCAACTATTTTGTGTTATAACTGTAAGGAGTAGTCATGAGAATGAAAACTGGTTGGATTTTTCATCTGTACATAGGCATAATGAAAGGTTTGTGATATGAGTAACAGTTAATTGGACTACATCTGAATTTGTGTAAGATGACTTGCTTTTGTAGAAACTAGTGGATTACAGTCAATCTAGTGTGAAGGTTAATTTTCGGAGCTTTCGTTTTTAAATTAAGATAGTCTCTTGGACTGGTAATCTCAGGAATTTTTAGCTCTTCTAGTTGAGAGGAATCTTTTTATGTTAAGTCAGTTAAGAACTAGGATGAGTCAAGGAAAGGAGAGACTATTTTGTAACATGACAACTGTACCTGTCGAACCAAAAGTTGTAACATGCATAAATGGAAAATAAACATTGGTTTCTTTTGTAACTGTTGGTCTGTTCTATATGTGTCATTCTGCAGGGTGGAAGGGGTAGAAATAACTTAATAAATGTAGTGCAGATCAGGCCATAGGAGACCATTATAAGAAAGCTGGAACAAGACCTCGTAAAAGTTGCATGGACCTAGTTTATATTTAAGACTTACATAATGGCCATAATTTAACAAGAAAGGTATGATCTCTTTGACTCCAGGTTTTACCTTATTCGTACACCAGAACACACAACAAACTCTTTACTTGGTCTTAGCCATGAACTAGTTTGGCTTGAAATAGACGAGATGTAGCAGTTCCCATCATGAATTCATAATTTGATGTGGATTTGGAGAAAGAATGCAGGGAGGTGCTCAACCCTGTAGTGTGATAGAACTGACAAAAGCTTTCGAAATGACTTGAAATAGATTCAACTCACCAAAAGGGAGCTCACATTTTCCCTAGCTACATAAACGAAGAACAGGGAGGTTTAATGACTTTCTGTTGGAAGTTTTAAAAGCCTTTCTTCCCCCACCTCATCTTTCCTATACATCAAGTTAACTTGCATGCACCATGGAAATTTCTGCGTAGTAGCCTGATATGATTTCATTGGTTGTGTGCATCAGAGCCACCTGTTGATTATTTCGAACAATGCAGCTAGATTATGCTTCTCCGCACTGCATACAAGTATACGGCCGAACCAGCGCTAGGCTCAGACAGTAGTTTGTTCATCGGTAGACAACATCGATCCCTAGAAAAACAAATCAACGCAAACGTTTTTAAGCAGCGGTCCATATGAAGGCACTGGCAGCTTACAATAATACAGAATGTTTGCCTATTGTCTGGGCGATTCCAATCGTATGCGGAGGGTACCGGTTACCCCGTAGCGCCAGTTACATGTATGTTACTAAAGCATTTGTGTTTGTTCGGTACAAATTCTTAATGTAAACCACTCGAGCTTTTATGGGTTAAGTATTCCTGGTCGAGGCTGACATTTGTTTTTAAAACGTGACTCCCTTCTGCGTAAAGTAGTGTGGTACGACCCGCACACAATGGTCTGAATTATCCAAAGGTCTCAAATTTCCACCTACTTTTGAAACCGATTGTGTCGTTTTTCCACGGTAGTTGGCAGTGGTTTGCTTGTGTAGGACAGGGAGAGGACTTTTTCTGTTCCTTTGCATTGAATCCTGCACGTAGTGCCCAGCTGAGTGTCTTATAGGAAGTTGTGACAACTTTGTTTTGCCCGAGGCGGTTTGTCGTATCGGCAACAGTGACAAACTTTCTCAGGACTGGACCCGGTGTCGCGGCGTGGGCCGGAGGTTTGAACCTCAAACAACGGACTTTGCTTTGCTTTGGGTTAGGACTGCAAACTTTGTCGCGTTGCTGACTACGGTAAACAGAACGGTGTGCGATTTTTTTAGGGCAAGCATGTCGTACATGTACGACCCGGACACCGACGCCAGGGCGTCCGCCCTCAGGACGAAGTTGTTCGGGTCTCCCGGGGCGGATGGAAATGTATACGGGGAGGGTACGGCACGGTCCCGCCGGCGGCAGGACAGGCACGATCGGGGGGTTTCCGATCCGGGACGGCTCAGCGCAGAGTCGGGGGTGGCTAGCTTGGACACGACGGCAGAACCCAGGACAAGTTGGAAGGTAAGTAACGATTCTTTCTATCCATGCCTTACGTTGCCAATCCGAAAACAGATTGTGCTGGCCCTTTTCAGACCGTCCCGTAAAGAGGGAACAAAAGTTCACCCATGCCTCCGTGATCTGCATAACAACGATGTCCACCCCATGCACGCTAACTCTAGTCTGGTCTCATCTGTTCGTAAACACAAGACAAATTTAAACAAAACAGGACAACAAAAGTTTTCGCAGCACTTCAACTTCGGTACTATACAACACGTGAAGAATGTGAAACTTCCAATTAAGAAAACCAGAGAAACTATTCTCAGTTCTGACTCTAACAATCCACCCCCCCAAAAAGTCCAGTGCGTTATTCCAAGGTAAGCTCCTTGGTTATTCAAAAAGAAATGCACGATTTGCATCCTTCCAAGCATGGCAGGGCAAGTCCTTGAATAGGTCTTTTCTTGGTCCATTGGATTTGTACAGTATGACAAAAGGAAACAATGGGTCGAGTACTCTGTGAGCAAGGACACACAAGAGATAGGTTTACAATTTATGAGCTACATCCTTGTACAGAGTGGATCACCTGTTCTAGTGTATCTCACCTAGTGCCTATCAACCTCCCACCTGTCAGATGAATACCTTTAGACCAGGGTTTATATTTATATAATAATGAATGAATGAAGACCTTTATTGTACATTTGTGTTCTACAGAACTAAGTACAGGTCGCATGGGTACAGAACGTGAACATAAACATATACATTACAAATATATGAACATAATTATAAGAGTGTAAATAAATGTCTAATTTCTATTCTTTTCGGCTTCATCTCGCTTGGTAGTGATTGTATGGATATATGCGGCTGTGAGATTACTTAGAGTAGGTTTAATACTTGTCTCAAGATACTAGCAGCTTTAAAACTATTTGGGAACAAAAGTTTGTGTCTATGAATTTATAGTATGATAGAATTAGTTAAAAGTTATTGTTATTTCTTTGTCAAGAGCGGCAGTCTGATTTTTAACCAGAATTTTTGAAGTAGAGTATGAATTGGCCTGGTCACCAGCATACAATCTACTCAAAAAGTTCTACCTGTAATTCAGATAATAGTACCAGGTGTTTGTTGCAGCCAGTAGACACTCCCATTCAGACCACTCCAGAAATCATAACAATTCGGTTAAAAAGCCCACCACACAATAGCACTTGGCTTGGATTACACAGGTCATAACGACACTTGCCCTCTGGTTTTCATGTTAAAAGAACAAACTGTTTCATTATTTCCCCTTGTGGCAGTTTGTTGGTATTGTTGGTAGTGTGAGCCTTTGTTTTGCTTTCGTGAACAAAAGTCTCTTTGAGAACTCTCTTGCTTTTGTATGCCATTATGGTTACAGAAAGCGTATGCTGAAAACTATTTGTAGATACCACATGTGATTGGACAGAGGTAACACATTGTAGTTGAAAAGCTGCTTATTGTTACCTTCGCCAAGAAGGTTATGTTTTCAGAGGCGTTCGTGTATGTGTGTGTGTGTGTGTGTGTGTGTGTCTGTAAACACGATAACTTCAGAAGGCCTTGGTGGATTGTCTTGATACTTGGTAGGTGGGTAGGTCTTGATGAGACCTCAAAATGATTAGATTTTGGACCTCCTAGCGGCTTGTTATGGTACTGCAGCTGCACTTCCGGTTTTGATATCTCATGATCTAGACATGCTAGGGTGACGAAATTTGGATGGTAGGTAGCTCTTGTGCTGGGGAAGAAGTGACGTGAGTTTGAGCCCCCTAGCGGCTTGCTCTGGAACTACAGGACTATATGTTTGAAAATATTCAACTCAATGTAACTCAAGAACCGGTTGACGGATCGTCGTGATTTTTGGTATGTAGGTAGCTTATGTGATGCTTGATATAATTATTTGACAATTACGCAAATATGGATGTAATTTGCATAATTTATGGGGATATTCTATAAATCAGCTTCATTCCATGGTTGGACTATTGAAGCTTGTGACATTGGTAATTGAGAATAAGAGAAACACAGACAGATATTAATTATGTAAATGAGGACTTAATTTGCATAATTAATGAGAAAATTTTATAATTATGTAAAGATAACTGCCTGGAATTTCATACTTGTGGTATTTGAAAGTTAAGTGAAGGTGAACATCACTAAACATAATGTATTCAAATCAGGACCTTATTTGCATAATTTATGAGGAAATGCTAGAATGGCATTGTTTGTTAATATAAGACTGTCTTTTGGTTGAGAATATGATAAAATGATATAATTCATGATTCTATTTGTTAAATCAGGGGGAATAATCTATAATTTGTCAGTCATAAAGATTAACATCATTTGGCGAAGGTATGAGATCGGGGAACTCTAGTTACCTTCTGTTTTGAGGGGAAGCCACCATTTCCGCACATCCTATCCCTTGACCAATTCCCTTTATACTACAGTAACTATACAGCTATAACTTGTGACTGTTAATTCAGGTGAGCTGTTAAAAAACCTCATACATGATCCAAGTACAGTATATAGACGGGAATGAATGGAATGGGCTTTAACTAATTTAAAGATAACCATGATATTGAAAGCTACAAAAACCCAATGGTTGGACCCTGTGCAGTCTTGGAACATCTTGAATCTAGAAATACTGTTATGGAACACCCTCAGCAGGGTGAGGTTTGCAGTTACATGAAGGAAACAGTGATTGAAAATTGTAACCTTCTCCCTGCTGCCTAACCATGTAGCCAAAAGAGAATTGGTAGCAAAACATCTACTTCAGTTTAAACAGGGTAAACATATTCAAACCTAGAATCCTACTGACATAGATTTGTCTACAAGGAGCCTCCTGATTGTTCAGTGCACCCTCTCTGCATTCATGTTAATAGTTGTTTGTCTCTATCAGAGTTGAGTTGACAATGTCTTTAATCCTTTTCTCTGGCCACCTTCTGACCCAAACAGTATGGAGCAGAAGGTTCCCACTAACCATGTATGCACAGGGCACTTGTCAAACACAAGGAGTATTTGATGACTTCTTAATGGGTTTTCTCTTCAATTCATTTTAATTAACTCTGAAAGACTGAGAGGGCCAGGTGCTGTTCCTTGTTCCAGGTGTATAGACTACAACCACTTGTTGAAAAAGTGGTCAGTCCCCCGAGTCAGGTACAACCACTACAATGTGTAGGCTCACTGTCCATTCCCAAATCAGACTCAGACTCCTGCTATAAGTTAAATGTTATATGCTTCAAACAGAATTAATAAAAGATTGGTATACAGATGCAAGTAGAGTCAAACGTGGTCGCAACAACCACAAGGGGGACAAAGGAAAATGGCTGGTAATAAAGGGAGAATAGTTGCTCTAGACAAATGGATTGCTTAGGTGGGAAAAAGATTATTACATTTGCACAATATATTAGCCTGGATGCCATCTGAGTTAAAATATGTTAAAAGTTATAATCTATTGCAAATATGAAAAGTAAGGATAACCTTTGTCATTGGTGCTTAGATGTGCCCTTTTATGCTGATGACTCGAGTAGGCTGAAATCCAGCCATAGCAGAGGCACACTGACAGGCAAGTTGAAGATAAGCTACAATATGGCTGGATTTCAGGCTATAGTTGAGGGAAAATGTGTCAAGAAGAAATCTTAGGTGCTTAGTAAGGTCAGTGCACTCCTGTGTGTCAACATTCCTAACTGATCCTACTTAGCCTTAAGATAAATCCCCACAGTTGGTATAAGCAGGCAGTTCATGCCAGTCTTGTTTTAAGTAATTTGTCACAGGAAACCTGCCATCCTAACATTCCAGAGCAGCGTCAGTATGTCAGGTCAGTGTTTAGCAACAAACAAAACACAGACAGTGTGCGCAATTTGGCTTCACATAGAGGCATGCTTTAGTAAAACAAGCTGCGCAGCATGTACTAGTAGGCAAAGCAGTGTCATATATTTTTACTAGCTACAAAATGTGCAATGTTTGAGTCATCAAGACTTTAAGTTTGCTTTGTCCTTTAACACTTTTGTATGTTTTGGGATTTTTTTCTCCTTTTTGTTCTACATTTTTCAGTATGCTAGTCCCAAATCAACTTTTAAACGCATGGCTTGGTCCACCCAAAAAAAAACTCATTACTTTCACACAATTCCCCAGATACAATTCCCAGAAAGATACTTGCTTGAAACCTAAGCACAATAGTTTCCTGATACCAGTACCTTGTGTGCTGCAAAGGTAAATCTTGTTCAATCTAGGTAAGCCTGCTTTGTAAATTGAATTGATCTCCTTGTTGCCTAGCAACTGTTTGTTTAAGTTGCCTGCCCGGCTGCCTACTCCTTCGGTGCGTGTTCCCAGGTAACTCTGTACCTGAACACACAGGTATTTTAATGGCCAGCTGCTATTAATCACACAAGTTGTCAGCTCAGAGAGGTAAATTGAGATCTGCACCTATAATCAATTGAACTGATAATCTTCTTTCTTTTTTTTTGGTATATTGTTGAATGCAAGGAACAAAAGGATAAATATTTCAGTATTATTTTTGATAGCAATGACAGGAACAAGGTGGACGATGTAAGCTTGGTAATTCTCTGTCATGAACTAAAACTGTCAAGACATTCTGAGCTGATATACATTTGGCACAATTTACCACCCCTCATGAGTATCAGCATGGATATTATAAGCAAGTAGTCTGTTTTAGGTCTTTAATTGAACAACCATAAATAAATGTGCCAGGCTTATTTTCCATATTGAGATAAAACTGAAGTGTTATTGACATTAACATATTTCTGGCAGATGATTATTTCTATAATTACACATTAATAGAGCTTTAAAATGATGAATGCCACTAGACTTGTTTATTATATTTCTGATGTATGGTATTGTCACCTGTGCATACAAAGCACCCAGACTTTCTTTATGTTGATGTCTCCCAGACTTATTTATAGCCTATTTATTTTTACATTCAGCAGTGGCATTGTTTGACTACCTTTATGGTATAGAACTTCAGTTGATATGAGAACAAAATCCCAGTATGCAGATGATCTGTA